CGTTGGAGTGAATACTGTTCTTTGAAACGTTGTGGTTACCTCGGAGAGAAAATGTTTTTCAGTTATTTTCACCCCAATGGGAGTAGAAAAGCGGTAGTCCCGAAAAGCCCAGCATATTTAGCTGATCTTGGGCTCCTTCGCTTCTGTGCTGTACATTGACTGGGAGTGCAAAAAAAATAGGAAATGATGTCTTTGAAAGTTCTGCTGCTGATAATTTTCGCCATGTTCTCTTAGTCAACGGCGAGAACCCTTCAAATAAGGTTTTTCAAGAATAATAAAGGATGTTTCTATCTCGAAAGACTATATACGGGTTCCTTCCAACCCTCGAAACCTCTACACTTGCAGACCACGAAGGGCGACCGCTATTCGCAGAGCTTAGGCACAGCTGCAGTGGATTATGAATGATATGGAAATGTTGCGAAGCACATTTATTGTCATTCAGATGGAATGGAAGGGAGGGAAGGAAAAGGGAAGGGACGGCAGCGCAGCCAGGTACGTTCACGATATTGGTACGGTGTGAGCTGAGTACATTCAGTTGTTCGGGATGTCTGAGTTAGATCGAACAGAAGGAATGACGATCGGCCCGGATTGGTGGCTGCTCAGTCCAGCTCCGAACTCCTGTCGCTCTGCGGTCGGTTGGTAGGTATCACACCCGTCTGAGAGAAGGGAGGCATTGAATACATAGTACATTGACTGGTCACCGCAGTTCACTGTAATGATCATACAAAGGAAAGCACACAGAAAAGTAGATATCCCTGGTTGAAATGATTGCCAAAAAACTCCAGGAGCACCCACCGGGATCACATGAGGTCGCCATAGCTTTTTGACGTAATCATTGCTTTATCAAGATGGATCCCGCATTGGAATTCCATTCAGAATCGTAGTAGTGTTTGACTTCGGCAGTGTACCTATTGAACACCGTCAAGGGAAGAGCTTGCCCTTGAGAATCTTCTGAGACGTTCCACCCACAGCCGTAGATTTGCGATCAGAGGAATCGTCTCAGGTTTTCCTGTGATGAGGACCATAGAGCTCTTTATCGGCCCCTCTGGGTAGTCAGTGGTCCTGCGGTTCACATCTAGTGTCTAATAGAATGACTGGCCATGATCCAGCGAATCTGAGTCATCTTCGGTCGGAGGTTACACACTCACTCTACATCGCCAGTCTGGTGACTGGCCGGCCCAAGCAACCACCGCCTGTCAGGATCACAGCTGATATTTGCGCCGTTGAGCGGTTCGTTATCCGGCTCGAGACACCCCATAGGCCACGCCCTGCATTTCTTCGTGAACCACCACTGCTCACATTCAGTTTGCTGCCGATTTTCCTTTGATTTCTCTATTGATCCCGATCCCCTGACAACAATCACCACCAAACACAAGAGGGCTGCGAAAGCACAGGGCTCCCTAGTGGCAGATTCTCACAAAACTGTAGATCTGGGGCAATTTATTGGTCATGATAGGCAATCTTGAGATGTTTTGGGGAGAGTAGATATGAGATCGTAAACGAATGTGTAAACAACAACATTGTTCTTCCGTCTACTGCCTTTTAACACTTTCCAGCTGATCAGGTGGTTTTCTTTAGCCCTCAAGCCGTTTTCATTCATGATAACAAGTCTGGAGTTGGGATTTTCGATCAAAAAAAAGCCGTGGGATTCTTTGAAGTCCCTTTTTCGAGCTTCTTCCGTCAGTCTGTCACTTTTTCGGCCTCGCTTTTGACAACTCTTGCGCTTTTCTCTATGAAAAACGGACATGCTCTCCATTTTGAGATTTTTCTGTAAAAATGGGAACTGAGCCTATGGAAAATGCACCAAAAACCTCATGAAATTTCTCAAAACCTCGGGGACCCTTTGAAATTCTTCGGGGGTCCCGACCTTCAAAAATTGAAACTCATTTTTTAAGTCACGTCCATCTTTTTCGAATAAAAGACTTACTTAGGCTGAGATAAGCTCGATCGGGTTTCCGATAAGCGGACCATATGTGCACTGATGGAGCCATTTGCTATAGCCCTACATCGTCCTCCATTTCGGATGGCATAAAATAAATATTGCCTCTAGTATCTTTTTTTATGAAACTCGTCGATTAGAGTTGGTCGAATTACTGCTTCTGGATGAGCCTTGCATCCTGTTCCCATGTGAAATCGCTGTAATATTCGAGAACAGACTCTGCCTTCAACATGATTTGCTGGAACATTCAAAGCCTCGGTTTTCATCCTCTAACATGAATCAACTGCTTATAACCGACTTTTTCGAAGGAAAAGCCTGTTAGACCTCAAGAAGTTAGATGTGGGACCAGACTCCCGACTCTGTTGTATAACTAAGAAGCCGCATCGTACTCTACCCCAGTAGCTTTCATTTTTCTAACCGGAAAGCTGATTGGATCAGGTCTATGGCATAGGACAGTTGTGCATTTTGCATAATTTGCAAGAAAGCTCGAGGAGTACCTTTTGATAAATATCTGTTCAAAGGCCTGCCGCAAAGGGCCTGCCGCGAAAGGGCTGCCGCGATTTTCAGCTGTGGAAGCAAAAACCCAGGGCTACTTGTAAAAATGCGGTCAACCTCCCGGATATTGTGGCCCACCTGTTCCATATGTTAGCTGAGGGTTTATGGCGTGGGATCGACTCCTATCCTACGGACTCTTCGGCCGTTCTCTTGTGATCGGCTAATTAGTTCCAGATTCTCATGGGTAAACGGATTGAACGACATGGAAGTCAGCTGGCTATTGCAATTCCTCACATAGATTGCTAATGTA